GCTCTTGGCCGCATACCCAACTGCCAATTGCTCTGGGGCCCAGTGGAATGCCTTTCAGGCTGGTCCCCGCTCTGAGGCTGAGCAGCCTGCCCATTTGCAGAGCTGTAAACATTCACTCATCCATGCAGGCTTTAGCATGGCCCTTGTTACTGCCCTTGTTTCCCTTGGAAACCTTTGTGCTACTGCTGGAGGTGGCACAAGGCTGAGAGCCCTGACAACTCAAATACCACCTCCCCCTCTTCACACCCTGGCCTCTCCCCTGCCCCTGCCCCCACCAGCTACAGGCTTTCTTGAGGTCACTGTTCTGCTTTTCTTTCCCTAGTGTACACACCTGGGTGCCAGTTTGTTTCAGTCACCCTTGAGGGCAGTGCAGAGATGTAAGGACCTTGGCATGTCCCAGCAGGGTGACAGCATGGTGTATTCTTCCTCTGAGACCAGGGCCAGAGGAAAGAGACTTAAATGGATGTCCAAGACACAGAGCTATTGGTGGTCCCCTATAGAAAGCTAGCCAGCTATAGGAAGGCAGCCAGCAGGAGGCAGAGCCACAGAGAGGAAGGAGCAAGGTACCTCAAGGACATGGATGAGAGTGGCAACTAACCCTCCCTCTGTGAAATGGGTTTAGCAGAGAGGAAGAGAAACAATGGTGCACAGTCCTCAGTGCTGCAGTGAGTGCTCAGCCACTTGCTCTGTGTGCCTTTGGCAGATGACTTTGCCTCTCTGTGCCCCAATTTCCTGCTGTCTGAAATGAAAACAAGGGTAGCATCCCCTTCCAGAATTTCTGAAAGGATTAAATGAGCTCATAAATGTAGAACTCTGAAAAAGGATGTGTGTTAGCTAACGTGTCACTGTTGAGAGAGTTCCAGGCACCATGGAAGAGGGAAATCTATATTTTAGTGATGGTGGCATCTTTGTTATAGAGTAACTGGTGATAATTTCACTGATTTGTATCTCCACTACCTTTTCTTCAGTGACATATCTGCTGATAATGGTGTTAATGCTCAGTGAAACAGAAGTCAAGTGGGCAGAAAGAACAAGTAAAGAAAAGGGCCAGAATGATTTCTGAGTTCTGATTGTTTTCTCTAAGTCATCATGATGAGTTTTCATGATTCAAATCAGTATGGGGCACACACACGTAGCAGATAACTGCAAAAAAGCAAGAATATGGCCTAAAGATGTATAAGTCAGCTTTCTCATTGCTGGGATGAACTGCCTGACATACACAATTTAAAGGAGGAAATAGTTTATGTGGCTCATGGTTTCAGAGGTTTCAGTCCATGATTGGCTGGCTCCATGGTAGAAATATGTAGAAGAGTGTGTGAAGCAAAGCTGCTCACATTGTGGCAGCCAAGAACCAGAGCAAAGGGAAAAAGCACCAGAGAATAAGGGCCAGACACCTGATACAGTCCCCAAGGTCACACCCGCTGTGATCCCCCTACACACACTCAGAGGTATGTGTCACTAATCTGGGTGTCTCTCAAGCCAATCATGGTTGACAATCAAGTCACAGAAGGTAACAGATCCATCTTTAAGTTCAGCCTATCACCTCAGCAACACAAAGGTCCAGTTGCCAAAAGGACATCCCTCCTAGAAGTTATCATACATTTCAAGCCAAGTGACCAAAGTAGAACTCCTTTTCTCACTCCCCCCGCCGCCCAAAACCTCTGCCTTTCTGCCTCTGTTTTCTGTCTGTACAATATAACGCAAGACCAGTTACTCAAGCCAGAAATATCAAGGTATATTCATTTTGTATAACATCTGCTCACACCTGTCAGTTCCAAGGCCTGTCAGGTGTGCCTCCTAAATAATCTGTAACTCTATGCATTTTCTATTTACCCACTGATTCTGTGTGCATCTCTAAGTACTGCTGTGTAACAACTACACCCAGATTCCTGGCTTGAAACGACAGTTATTTGTTATTTCCCGTGTGTATCTTGGGTCAGCTAATCTAGACCAGACTCAGCTGGGTAGTTCTTACTGTGTGCCTTTGTTTGATCTAGGCTCAGCTCAGCTGAGCTAGCTCTGCTCCATGTATCTCATCCTCCTCCTGGGACTAGTGGGATAGCTCAAGCCAGTTCTTCTCGTAGAAATGTCAGAAGCATGGGAAGGCAAGCCAAAACATGTGTCCAGCTCACTTTCTATTGGCCAAACCTGAACACGTAGTCTACTCCAGTGTCAAAGGGGAAGTGGGGATTGCACATCACACATTTAGTGAGAAGAACTACAAAGTCATGTGACAGAGAGGCAAAACATAGCATAGGACAAAAAAGCTAGGGCCAGTAATGCAAACTGTGCCAAGTAAGTGCTTGTTATTCTTTGGCTGGACTCTTCACTAATCCTCTAACTCCTTACTTTACTCACTTTACCTGTAGTCAGCCTCCTCCCTGACTTGATCCTGACATTCCTGTATGAAAAACTTCCATCACCTATGAAATTGAGCTCAAGTCTTACAGAACTTGCCTCCAATTTTTTTTCCAGTTGCATCTGTTGCCATGTTTCAGAATCATTCATCACCCCCTTCCAAATGTGCTTGTTTTTGCACAGTTCTGTGCCTTCATAAATAGTCTCCCTCCTGCTGCAGCAATCTCTCCCACATTTGGGTTTATTTTAAGTGAGTTTACCCTTCAAGACCCAGTTCACCTGGTATCTCCCAGAAAGCCTTCTCAGAAGTGCTAGAGAGAAAAGAGTTGCTTCTTCCTTTGTTACATGGTAGTAAATCAGAATTGAATCATGCTCATATTTAACTCCTACAAATTCAGGAATACATGCTCAGCCAGGAGGGAAGAAGACAGGACAGTTGGACTAATTCTACCTGCCATTCTACTCCATGACTATGAAAGCACTGGGACCACTTTAGTCATTCTTAGGTTCCAGAAGCTGTTCAGCTCCTGAAATCCTCTTATACAATGTAGGTTTGGTTTGTAGAGTGGAGGTTTAGTGTCTGTCAAGCAGACCAGGGGCCTGGGATTTAGTTCAGTGGCACCACACCTGCCTTACAAGCACAAGGTCCTGAGTTCGATCCCTGGTACTGGAAAAAAAAAAAAAGAAGTAGGCTATTCTGTTGTGCCTGCCCTTGCAGCCCTTTCATATGGGTTCTAACCAAAGAAACATTTGCACATCTGGTTGTGTTGTCTTGTTGCGGGTCAGTGCCATCCTGTGCTTTACTGGAAGTTAAGGGGACTGTCAGTGTTAATATTGTCTATAGGTAATCCTAACCCCATGATAACTTTAGAACCTAATCCCCACCCCAAGGTGCTATTGTGTTGCATTCCTTATAGGCATATATCAAATTAAATTTTAATTTTTTATATCTGTGTTTCAGGAAATCCTCACCTGTGGCTTATAGTCCTTTAAAATGCTGCAACCTTTGGTTGTATAGGTTCACGTACACTGTTCATGCCAGAGTCTATGTAGACAGACTCCCATAGTCCCCAGTGGTGCCAGCTTCCTTGTCTCCCTAGTACCTTGAATATATTGCTTGCTTAAGGAATGGTTGAATAAGAAAGAAGGCAACAATATATAGCTGTGAGGATTGGGATGAAAATTAAGACATGTTTATTATTCTTGTTTTTGTGTTACGGGGGATTGAACTTGGAGCCTTTGCACTGAACTACATCTCCAGCATTTTTTTAACTTTTTTTGAGACAGGGTCTCACTAAGTCACTAAGCTGCCCAGGCTGGGCTCAAACTTGCAGTCTTCCTGCCTCAGCCTCCAGGAGGGCTGGGATTACAGGTATGTGCTACCATGCCTGACTCAGACAAGTTTTGATCCAACAAAATTAAACCCATGCTAGTGTAGGTGCACATGGTAAAATGGACTTATGAGCCCACTAGGAATGTCTTGTTTACCTACCAAAAAAACCATCTTTTATTTGGGGCACTAACCGAGCTTATGGTTCCTAAAAGCACATCCCATTTCTGAGAAATTATTGTCCACTAATCATTCTAGACCTAACAATTAGTGGACATTATGGAGCACACATAGACAGGTCTAGATTCTAAATGACTCCGGTGTTGTCTCCCTTGTCACAACTGACCTAAGGATATCTTGGTTACCATTAGATTTATCACAGAATTCAGATAAACAAAGCCTCTTTTGAAATAGGCCACTGTGGCCAGCAAACTGCGTCATCCCATGAGAAGATGTTGCCAAGTCAAACAGTCAGCTTCACCCTTGGCAAATGCCTACCAGAGGACACAGGGAGGGTACCCAGCCCATTCAGGACCTGTGGGCTTCTGGGTGGGCGTGCCCACAAAGGCAGCCTGACCGGGCAGTTGTGGTCTCACTATGCTTTCCCCCACCAGTAACCTCTACCCCAGTAGGCTTCAGCAGACAGCAAGAACATGGCACTTGTCCTGGGCTGTTCTTCCCTGTGTCTCAGCAACAATCACAACCAGCCTCCCTCTCTCCAAAAGGGGGAAACTGTGGACATGACACCTCATCTCTCAGTTAGAGTGAGTGCCCAGAGGCAAGCACATGTGTCTGCACTCCACTTGGGCCTGAGGGAGTCCCTGCATGTCTGTTAAATGACTGAGCAAAATAAACCAGTGAGGTGAGCATACAAGAAGGGTACCATGGTGTTGGGAACTTTAATGAGGTAAGGCACTGTGTTCATTCCAGGCAAAACCAAATGGCCTGCTGGTGATGCCACAGCATGGTCTCTTATTAGCCTGTTATCCCTTCCAAAGTAGAGGCTGGACTTTCTCTTGTCTAATAGAAAGTGCACTCAACCTGATGAAATGCAGGGCCAGCGTTTTCCTAACACTGTGCAGTGTGGGAACCGATTCTGGCAATAACCCTTTCCTCTGGATGCTTGGATGCAACCATAGTAGTTTTTGTGTGTAAATTTGAGACCAGAAAATCATAGGTCATGGATTAAGTCCAGTTAGAACTTGGCTTTTTTCTTGCTAAGTACATGTCATCACTGGACACCTTTGTGGAATAATGATCAATTTATCCATTCATTCATTCACTTGGTTCATTGTTCATTCCATGCCTTCAGGTGAGCTATCCCTAGAAGAGGCACAGGACCCTTTCCTGGTAAGCATCCACATCATCGCAGACCCAGGTGAGGCCCAGCCACTGCAGGAAGCCATTGACAAGGTCTTGGCATGGATCCATCCCAACCTCCCACTGTTCCGTGTGTCAGAGAGGGCAGGCCGGAGGCGTCGGAAAACCCCCAAGGGCGCACAGCCAGCACTGGCCGTGGTACTGTTCCTTCAGGAGGAGTATGGTGAGGAGCAGATCCTCCAGCTGCACCGCACGCTGCAGCGCCCGCCCTGGCGCCACCACCACACAGAGCGAGTGCACGGCCGGTTCCTCCCCTACCTGCCCTGCAGCCAGGACTTCTTCATGCTGGCCCCTGGGACCCCGCTGTGGGCCATCCGGCCTGTGCACTATGGCAAGGAGATTGTGCGGTTCACTATCTACTGTCGCCACGACAGCTATGCAGACAGCCTTCGGTTCTATGAGCTGATCCTGCGCCGGAGCCCCAGTCAGAGGAAAGCGGACTTCTGCATCTTCCCCATTTTCTCCAATCTGGATGTGGACATCCAGTTTTCCCTGAAAAGACTGCCCTGTGATCAGAGCCCGGTGCCCACCGACTCCTCCGTGCTGGAGTTCCGGGTAAAGGACATTGGGGAGCTGGTACCTCTCCTGCCCAATCCCTGTAGCCCCATCAGTGAGGGGCGCTGGCAGACAGAGGATCATGATGGCAACAGGATCCTTCTGCAGGTACTTGGGTTGACTGTCTGTCTGACTGAGGGGAGGGCAAAACAAGTCAGTTAGTTCTGTTGGAAAGCTTCCTACCTGTTACTGAGCCATGCTAGGAAAAAGATTAGTGGCCCTGACCATCCCAAACCAAGGTCAAGATCTGTCTATATTCCGTCCAAACAAAGGCAAAAAGGCATCTCCCAGTGGTGCTTTACATTCTGTTGTCACAGCACCAGTGCCTTAGCAAAGGTGCCTAGTTGTTTTAGCCACCAAGTCTGCCCCACCACCACCACCACCACCACCACCCATGCCTCCTGGAGATGTCACACTAGCTCCTAACCTGGGGAACTTGCCATTAAAGATTCCTGAATCTGCTCCCTCACACTTGGCGGTTTTTAGCCTACGTACATTTCACTCCTACAAAGGAACTTCAGGAAAACTCAAGGTTAAAAAGTGCAAAGTTCGTTAACATTCCACAGGGCAGACATCTGTTCCCTTTCCCCTATTCCCTTTGCCTGCCTTCTGCCCTTTCCCTACTTTCTCCCTGATGGTGGAGGGTATTAACATTCTGTGGACCCTTGGAAAGTGATGCCCTTATAAAGATTTGAAAGGGAAAGTCATGCCTTTGAAGCTTCTGGATTCACTCAGCTAGGAAGGGTGAGTGAATACATTTTAAAGACAAGACTGGCCCAGCCCTTCCACCACTAGTACCTTGGCATTACCAGCCCCCTTTTTTCTCTGATCCTTACCTGGGGTGTCCTAAACTCATTAGAGATAATATGCTCTGGAATTTAAAATTCACCATGGAGATTAAAGAATATCCTACACCTGCCCTTATCTGATAATGCTTTCCAACCCAGACATTCTCTAATTAATAGGTAAGTTAGTTCCTGGTGTGTAGGGCTTTGTAATTCTGAAAAGCCTCAATCTCTAGCATCTTAGTTTTCATGCCTGAAAAGAGAAAAGTGATAGTCAGTTGGGGGGCATTGCTTCAAAAGTGCTGACTGTGGTTACAGGAATTACAGGTAAAGTTGCAGGTTTTGTTGGTTTTGGCTCTAAACTCCACAATCATAATCCCCATATCATAAGATGAAATGAGGATTTGGCATTTCTGATAGCTGGTCCAAACAAAAGCCAGGGCTCATTGCTCCAGTCAGAAGGGTCACCTTGAGATACCCATTCACAGGAACTAGATCATTTTCAGACTTCCTTTTGAAGAAACTGAATAATGTTGCTTTATTGTTCAGTAAGCAGAGCGCTAGCATTTGCTCTATAATCCCCTTTGAAATGTGAGAAAATTTTTCTTCTGCATCTGATAACTACTGATTCTTTATACAAAGCAGAATACAGTTGTACCAAGTAAAAGTTAATGAAATGCAAAGGATTGTGTTTATTCTAAAAGACCAAAATGAATATGATTATTTCTGATTTCTTCCTCTTCTTAGTAATGGGAAAACTTCTCTTGATCCTTCTGGTAACATAAATGAAAGAACAGAGTATGAAATCTTGGCCTGAGCTCTACTCAAAGGAAACTTTGAAAGAATATTTCAAAGATCTACATATTTAAATGATTATAAAGTCTATACAGCGCAGGCTTTTGAAGTTAGGGAGATCCACAAAAGAGGAAAAAAAAAGTTTTATATCTTGGGACTCGGGATTACAGACCTTTGTTGAGTAATAGTATGTTCAATTAACAGGGAGAGAAATGAAAAGTATCCCCCTCATGACTCTTGATAACCATGCAAACAGGTTACTGTTCATCCTCACTGCTGCAGAGAGCAGCCTTCTGCTTTACTATAAGACATACACCTATCCATCCCCCTACATTTTCAAAGTAAAAATTTATATTTCAGTCTTCAGCAAAATGAAGATATTCAGGTCTCAGAGGGAAGAGCAGTGCAGAGAACACCTTTTCATACACATTTTCTTTAGCAATCCAATATCTGCTCCCTAAGTCTATTCTCATCTATTACTATTAAGATAATTTTTGTTAAAGTGGATGCAGTTATATATTGAAGAAATTCTTGAGTAGTTTTTAGTCACCTGGTTAAAATAAAGATTGTATTTTACATTTTCACCCTGCTCTACGGATTTCATATTCCATATATCAGAGACTCACTCCTCCCTTTTTAATTCCTCTGGAAGAGAAAAACTGAGATTGTCTTTTTCTAAAAGCCACTCATCCCCTTATAAGAATTAGGAGACTGGCTGGCGATTTAGCTCAGTGGCACCCCACCTGCCTCAAAAGCGCAAGGTCCTGAGTTCGATCCCCAGTACCAAAAAAAAAAAAAAAAGGCTTAAGAGCTTAAGAATTAGGAGATATCTTTTACCAAGATCTCACAAGATGAGAGGAAAGCTATCCTTCTCCTGATACTCATCTCTCCTTCCTTCTTGATGTTGCCCAGTTTAGGGGAGAGTGGAAAGTCACTAGCATCAGGAGTTATCAGAGATCCATGCATTTTAGAAATGCATTGATGCTTCGTGATACTAAACTATAGCCTTGTGGAGTTAAGGACTGTGTTTAATAAAACTTTCTACTTCCATAGTATTAAACTGACATTGAACTTTGAATGCATTAGGTTCTCCTTATAGATGTTTTTGTTTACTTTTAAAAGAGAGGAATATAAATATACATACAGCAAAGTGTACAAGTCATAAACATACAACTCATCAAATTTCATGGATTAAACATTTGTGTGAGTAGCACACAACTAAAGAAACAAAACATAGACACAGACAGAAGAAAAGGCTGCTCTCCTGCATGTGAGACTCTCTTCCCTAAATGAACATGGTATTATCTCTATTATACTAAAGGGTTGGGAATATAACTGTTATCTTTCTAGTATTTTTTAAATTTATAAATAGATCTCACACTGTGAAAAAGAAACTTAAAATGGCTGACCAAGATATATACTACACAAGAAAATTAACCCCCAAAAATAGCTATAGAAGAATTTGAAGAAAGACCAAATGTTGATAGAAAAATAAGATTAACCATGTGCAACATCTGGAAAGCATGTAATTTTCTATATACTTTCCAGAGCAGTGCTGTTCATGGTAGTCACTAGCCATGTGTGGCCACTGAAATTTAAATTTTAAGCTAAATTTAAGATGTTATTTCTTAGTCATGCTAAATATATTTCAGATGCTCAGCAGCCACTTGTGGCTAACAGCTACCATATTGAACCATGCAGAGACAGAAAATTTCCTTCACGGCAGAAAGTTCAATTGGACAGCCCTTTTCCCAAAGTAGGTCCCAAATTTGACTTGGGGTTTCTTAGTACTAAAAGCAAAATGGAAAATCATCAGTGATGTGATGCAAAGTCCACAAGAGAAAAATCAGTGATGCATTCAGTGCAGAAATATCCCTGGTTCTACATCCCACGAGCAGAGTCTTCCATCTTCCCGTGTGCACAGGGGTATCAACAGCCCATCCTCAACTGCACCTCCAGACTCACCACACTGGGGCTTGCAAGGCTCTGTGTCATGTGGTGCCCACAGGCATGCCAGCCAGGTGTAGCTCAGAGAAGACTCTGCACAGGGAGCCTGAGCAGAACCAGGTGATCCTCACCTATAGCTCCTGGTGGCCTTGCTGAATCCCAGAGGGAGAAATAATTCAGATAATTAGATAATTATCTTCAGATAATTCCCAAGTTTGTTTGCAAGCTTTTCAAAGCTAGCCATTGACAGTGAGTTTGTATTTCTTATCCCAAGCCAGGTTCTTGGAGAACACCCGTCCCCAGTAGGTAAAGGAGAGTCTGTGCTACAAGTTGGCCAAGCTGGCAGAAATGTTACCTTCTTAGGGAGCTCTAAGGAGCCTGACAAGGACACAGGCCTGAAAAGAAGGCCACCCACTGCTAGGGAGGTATGTGAACAGGACCACAGTTCTTCTTAAGAAGTAATTTGGGGTCCATTCAGACACACAAACAAAGGCACAGGTAAGGACCCCAAGCCCAATTCCACAATGAGAAAGAGGCTGCAATTTTAGGCTAGAAAATGTTGAAAGCAGGTTGTTCTCTACCATCGGAGAAGCAAAGTAAGTAACAGTGGTGCCTGAGTCTATGGAAAACATCTGTAGAAGAGACAGGCCATTCCAGATCTTTACCGAGGCCAAGGATTTCCATCAGCAAGCCCCTTCTTGCCTCTCTGGCTTTATTTATCTCCCCCTTGCTCACTCTGCTCCTTCCACATTGGCCTGTCCTGCTCACTGTTCCTCAGTTGTGGTGGACTCATTTCTGCTTTGAACATCTCCTTTCAGCCAGACCCAGGAGGGGGAAAAAATGAGCTACACGGTCCTAAGCCCCAATTTCATAGCTGGTCCAGAGTATTTCATGTGGGCATGATGTAAGCCTCAGCACACAGAAGTGAGGTGCTACTCCAGAAACATGCTGTTCCAGCCCTGGGGCCAGGGGAAGATGACAACAGCACCCTATGGGAGCAGCAAGTAGGACACTGGGCTGTAGAGACCCAAATCCTGTGTGCCTGATGGCTGGACAGTTCCACAAATCAAAGCCTACTGTAATTTCCAGTGAATTTTCTTCCTTTGTTAATATATTTTTAAATATCTACCAATTAGCCTCCCCTTGATGTTTTCACATTTTATTTTATTAGAAAGTAATAAAACTATTAACTCTCCAAATTTTGAGTTAGTGAAAAAACAAATCTACTCATGGTACTACCACATTAACAGATTGTTTAGTTACATGGGAGCAGTATGTGCCAATTTTTGTTTTCCAAAAATTTTTTCACTTTTTCTTCCTCACTTATGCCAAAAAATCTAGAAAAAGAACCTTTTACTAAATGGGCTTCCAGCCTCTTTGTTAGTTTTCTCTTTCCTCTACCAATCTTCCACCCATCCATATAGATTACCTTCTTAGATTCTTTGATTTCAAGGAGATTTCCATCTGATTCTCTGGAGCTTTATTCTGGGAAATGTACTTCCAGTATAGCTAAAGCAACACAGTTCAAGGACACGGTGGTTATGGGAATAAAATAAGTAAAATATAGAGAAAGGATTTAGA